CCAATGTGCCAAATCATAGAAATGATAGTCATGGATTAATGGGATTATGTGATACTTACGCACCCGAAAATCAGAGCAAGAGACAAGAGTCCAGGGACAGTTGGCAGCATGTGCATGCTTTCCAGAATGACAGAATCGTACTCATTTAAATGGAACAAACACATAATACGATAGTACATTATACATAGGTTTTAGGTTCACATGTACAACAAAAATATAGAATACCTAAATTAGTACACACAGTTCATGTAATATATTCAACAAGAATACTGTATAAAACATATACATAAGTAATGGGCTTATGAGAATATAGGATAATATATGATGCTTAAGGACCGGCCGTTCCAGCACCAACATTTCCAATTGAACATATGTAATTGACACAATTAAAACTTACAAGGACAAATTATGAAATTAATGAAACAAATCAGACAATCATAGAGCTCATAATGCTTATTATCATTCACAAGGGAAATAGAGAGCATCTGCTACAATTTCAGTTACAACTTACCATTTATGAACTGAAAGAGCAATATCAACCCTAAACCATATATGTAGTAATGAGTCGAAGCTTCATCATAGCCAATGACAAATCATAGAGTCATGTACTCATGTGCTCATGTTCATGCTTTGCAGAATGAGTAAATCACAAATTCACACATTCATACTCATTCAAATGGAACAACAAGCACATAATGGGACAAATGTACAATAAAAATATAGAAAATGTACACTTAATGGGACAGTAGAGGATCCAGAAGGAGCAGCAGCTCTAGCACCAACATTTCCATCCATTATTTCTATAACAAAAAAACACATTGTTAGAATTTAGAAGTTTAACCAATAAGCTAAAGAATAAGTAAATAAAACATGATAATACATAAAATTTATACCTTTTTCAGCCTCTCTACTTCATCAATGTTTTCTTCAACTGAGATAGGTTGGTTAGCCATTCTCAACCAATTTTGTGCACAAATAAGGGCTTCCACAATTTTAAAACTTAATGAACTTCTAAAACAGTCCAAAACCCTATCACTTTTACTGAAAGTGGATGCAGAAGCAACTGTGGAAATGGGAACACCAAGTGCATCCCTAGCCATCTTAGAAAGTATAGGAAACCTTTCACTATTTAACTTCCACCATTTTAGTATATCAAAGTCCTTATCTTCCTCAATTATGGACTCAGATAGATATATTTCAAGTTCGGTTTTTTTAACTCCTAACTGGCCACTCTCCAGCTTGTTCTTTTTTAGATCAGCTTAAATCTGGACACTGACATATTCTCAGAATTACCACACTCTATAGATGCTCCAAAAGTCAAAGTTGAAATATAACTTCCACCAATACAGTCAGAGTAATTTGAAACATAATCAACAAATAACCCACTTAGATCAGACTTCACTTTCAGAAAGAATTCTACACCTTTTCTGTCACCATATAAAGCATTCAGCTGATATGGCATATACTCAAACATGTCTCTAGGATCTAACACATTAGCATAGAAGATGAGAACGTTCATCATTTCATGGTCACCCCACTACTTGTCCAATTTTGATTTCATAGTAGTCCCTATTGCATTGACAGAAGTAGTTGGAGAGGCAACCATATCTTTTAGGACAAGGAACAAGTCAGATATTTCAGAAAAAAGGTATTGGCAATAAAATAGAGTGAGCCTAAAAATCTTAGTGTCGTTTCATAATTTTTTTTATAGTGGTCATAAAATATTCAACTGCAATCCAGTCTAAAACATCAGGAATGTCAGTACCCATATTAGTATTAAATGCACTTTCATTCTTCTCATAGGCTTCAACCTCTTTCTCATTAGAAATAGCATATTTAAGCACTATGTAAGTGGAATTCCACACTTAACTTTCATTCCTATCAAGCCTGATATATCTTTGAACTTTTGAAGCCTAGCAGGTGAGTTCTTGACATACTTAACAACTTCCCTTACTCTCATGACAGAAGTGTCTTTGGTGCAGTATATGCACTTCCCCTTAATAACCACATCCATGTTATCCTTAATTTGGGCAAATTGCTCCTATATCTTAGACCTCTCTTCTACCACTTTTCTCTTTTGTACAGAAACAACAAACGGTGCAGTCTGCTCATTGGTAATGTTAAGCTCAGAAATTTGACCTTCCACCACTGTTTCTTGACTCAGAGGAGGTTGAGATCCAGATATAGAAAAGGTCACACTTTCTTCACCTTCCATCTAATGAATGCAAAATGCATCATGAACAATAAGAATGCAGCTATGTACAACAGTACAAGTAAGCAACACATGATAGGTTTATACTAAGCTTCTACAGTTCCACATACAATTTACAAATACAATTATACAAATCTGGACTCATAAATCAAAAGTCAGAACCACATATCCACATTAGGCAACGCGTGAATATAACTTCCACAGTTCGACATTCAAATTTCACATAAACAGATCTGTACAGGTGCAAACTCAGAAATCAAGACTGTGCATTCAGTAACTTAGTAATTCAATATATATATATATATATATACATCAACGATTAACAGAGACAGGTGAACATTTGAACATATCTGAATGACTGAACTCAGAAATCAAGAGTCAAGAACTCAACATGCAACATTTTGTAAGTAAATATATACGAACGTCATAACTCAGAAGATGCATGCATCATCAACGATTCAACATACCATTATACGAACATGTACAAGTATTTTATACCTCAATGACTCAAAGAAGAAAGATTGGCAATCGGTCTCACAGACTCACACAGCCACACGCTCGGCTTGAAGGCTTCCACTAGGTTGAGGACTTGAGGCAGTGAGCCACTGAGCCAGTGACGACTGATAAATACTCAACCGGGCGACGAAGATGGCGGCCGATGAAGAGATAAGTCAAAGTCTTTCACTCCTCTCAGTCGTAGAGAATAAAGATAGTCAGATAGAGAGTGTAAGTTAGGGTTAGCGGATTAGGACTTTAGGAGTTATGGTTATGGCATATGGGCTAACCGACGAAGGGAATGAGGGAGTAAGGGTAATGGATTAATGGGCTTATGGGCTTATGGGGAGTAAATTCCAAAAGGCCCATGTCGAGTGTTCGGTCGGGTCGGGTAGCCAATGTGTGAACCCTATCCGCTATATGCTGGAGGCTAGGATTTGGGCTGCCGGGTCGGTTTTAGGATTCGGGTCAGATCAACCGACCCATTATACAAATTTCAGTTAAATCCGATCGGTTTTTTAGGGTCGGGTCAGGTTTTCTCTCCCTAGTTGAGGGCCTAGGGGATGTAGATTCAACCTTTTGGAACATCATAACACTATACCATTGGGTGTGTTCATTTACATCACTTTTGTGTTCTCTTATAAGCTAGCAATTAAAACATGCATATACTTCGTATGACCATTCACATGTAATTCACACTTTAGCCCAACTTGTAATAATGATAGTATTCTATCACTTGATGTGTCATTCACATTAGGTCTCATTCTGCTCTCAACTTTCAACTAAAATATCTTACTTTACCATTTCCCCATAACATCATATATCCATTAAATACATTGCCTCACTTAACATTGAACTCACATCATTTATTTTTTGTCGATGTTGAAAACATAGCTTTTTACTAAAGGTTAAAAATCTATCACGAGTTAATCTCGTAAGTCGTCTCAAACACTTGATGATTGATGAATATGATGAAAGAAGATGTTCTACCATTGTCATGGTAAGAGAATGGTTATGATGGATCAAATTTTGCAACGAGCTCCAAGAGCATGAGAAGAATCAACAAGAAACTTGAGCATAAAATCTTTTGAAATAAATCTTCATAGATTTGATAGGTACTGCAAGTCTATGTACATGTTGCTACCGTCAATCTGTAATTACAATATTCATCTCATAGATCTTTGAAGAAATTATAGTAAGTAATGATAGAGTGAGATTCGTGAGAGATGTTATTAAGAGTTTTTCATGTTGTCCATCATACTTTCCATGTTAAGTTTGATTTTGTCCCAAAATCTTTTGCAGTACTTAAATATAGTAAGATTGCACGAATTTCATGTGAAATAGAGTACACCTAAATATAGTAAGATTGCACGAATTTCATGTGAAATAGAGTACACCTGTCATGATATTGTAGAGAGTCATATGTGGAAGGCTACATGTGGGATGAATCCATCCAAAATATCATCTTGTTCTTCATGGTGAATGCCATGATTATCGACATCTTCCAGGCATTCAAGATGTCTCCATTGAACGTCTTGTATACCATATTGATGTACAAATTTGTATGGAAGATGAGCGAAAACGAAGAAAGTCACGAAAGAAGAAAAAGAATCTCGATAATCAAATTAGGATTTTAATGAATGAATTTGTACTCATCTGTTATCATTAGACTCCTTTTTATCTATTTAAAATATAGAGGAGTATTAATTTTACACTAAATAATTATAAATTATTGCAAGTGATCATAAAGATAAAAGGAAAAATTGATAGTAATAATTCCAACTATTGGCCGTCCGCCCATAATAATCTCAACTATGGATTATTTTAGAATAATTCCAACTTTATGGACCTTCCACCAATAGTGGTCCCTATAAATAAATTCATGTAGTTTCTAAAGTGGATGATGAGTGATATAACAAGTAATCCCTATAAATAATCTCAACTTTTAATTTTTACACTTAATTTCTATTTAAAATTCACTTTTTATAGGAGGTAATATATGACCATGGACCATTATTGGCGAACGATCCATATAGTTGGGATTATACAAAAATAATCAATAGTTGGGATTATTATCAGCGGACCGGCAATAGTTGGGATTATTATCAGCGGACCGGCAATAGTTGGGATTATTATTTTCAATTTTTCCAAGATAAAATTAGTAGCTTTATCTTTAAGTATATAACTTCACTTTTAATAATATTTGCATTACAAAATGTCATTTGTACACCTCTTTTGTACATGCTCCTTACATCTTGTTGGTATCAGGAACAGTTCGCCTAAAGAGTGGAAATTCATAAAAATGTGAAATTTTAGAAAATTTTGTTCAAATTCTCTCTGAGATAGATAAAATTATAAATGTACTCCATTATGCCTGGTCTCATAATCATACTCCATGCCAAAGGTTCTCCACCTTAAAGTAATCAACCATATTCGGAGAGATTCATAAAATTTATGGGTTGGTACTTTGGTTATTCTACAGCCTACACAGCTACGCTACACCTTTTAAGGTAAAAGCAGACAGGCTACATACAACTCACAGTCACACTCATTGAGTCTCTCTCTACACTTCTATCCTCTTCAACATTTCTTGGGAACTCTCATTTACTCTCTGTGGTAACCTTTTTCTTCCCTTCCTATGCCGTATCTGTTTCTGTACTCAAGAAGCGAAAGTATCATTTGGCACCTTATTTCATTATCATCACGAGCCCATACTGTTTTACTGTGATCAAATAGTACCAGAAGTGTAAGAAAAAACCATTTCTTTATCTGTAATCAGTAAAGTTTTCATTTTTTTACGGTTTTGAGAAAACTGCGGTCAAATTCCAATTTTGTGTGAGCTTCTTTTAGCTAAAATTTGAGAATGAAAAACAAGAAGCAAGATTGCTCTCCTTTTTGTACCCTAAAATTTATCCTTTTTATTTGCAAGAAAACATGTGTCTCCACGTCAGGAGCAGATCTTGCTGCAACATGTGAAGGGTAGAAACGATGGCGTTTTTTCAGGAACGTATTTTATTTTCAAATAAACGCTGATTTTTTCGGGACCGTAATGGACCTTCCATTGATGATGGGGTGTTAGGAAGATGTTTTTCTTCACGTTCTCACTTTTGGAAAGGAAATGTGAAAGGAATGGGTGTTTTTTCCCAATCTTTCTTTGTGAATGACTGAAAGTGTTTATTTATTTATATAGTTTAATATTTATTTTAAATTTTGACTTTCAAGTTAAAAAGTTGAAAGTGACATTGGCATGAATGGAAGAGATAGAACAAAGTAGACTTTGGGTGTTATTGTTGGGTTTAGGGGATAATTGTGTACTTGTTCACTAATCTAACTCTGGTGTCCAAGTCAATCCTAGTCATGCATTCTTGTCTGTTAATTTGAACCATCAGCTCAGTAAGAGTTTGAAATAAGATTTGTATTGTTTTGTTTTTCTACTTTTCTTGAGGTTGATACGTTTGGATGATTGGAGGAGTTTCTCTGCAGGACAGATATAAATTAGTGATTTGAAGATGTTTTTGACTTCTCCCCTCCTTTTTGTAAATTGCTTCAGCTAGCTTTGGACTGTAGGTTTTGGCTGGGAATACTTTCTGAGGGTAAAAGGGGAACAAGATCACGAAAGATTGCATCTTTGCCATATCATAGGCTGAACCCCAGGTGGTAAGTTAATCTTCTCTCTCTCCTTAAAAACTGAATCTTGAATTCATCTTTTTGTGTTATATGGAGTATCTCTCCTGATCTCCAGTATTCCTTCAAAAGAAGGTTGCTGCAGAAGAAAAGGCATTCATTCTGGTCTACAGCTTTCAATTTTTTGGATGAGTTTCTACTTTCTAGTGTCCACTAATTTCACACCAATTCCAACTAGTTTACTTTTCTTTTCCACTAGCTGCAAAGCAAAATATATGGAATTTAATACTCATTTACAGAGAAACAAACACAAACATTAGAATATATCTCTTACTACTCCAATTAGATTGACCAAAAGATAGATGTGATACCTTGATATGGTATCATAATCAATTAAGTCCAACCATTCAATCAATTCAATATGAAGGGGCATGTTAGATATGTTGCCAAATTTATAGATACAACTTTTCATAAAGAACCCAAATCTCAACTTATTCCAAATGTTAGCTAAACCAATATGTAAGCTAAATAAGTAAAGTCTATAATCCACTTATTATTATTATGTTTATAAGGAGAAGCCTACCATACCAAACAGCTCTAAATGCCAGTTAGAATCTATGTGTCATCATTTATTTAAGAAATAAATGGCATGTCTTTGCAGATTTAATGCTCAGCTAGTTATTATACAGAATTAAAGATGGAATGGAATGCAAAGTGGGACTGGGAAAGCTTGGCTGAGCTTAGCTCAAAAGCTTGTGAAAGTCCTCAGAAACTGCAACTCACAGACTGGGGAATAGTGGAAGAGGAGGGCGAAATCGTAAATGCACCCTTCAATAATAAAAATAACATATCAGGGGGTAGCTATGTCTACGACGCGGGGGGCCAGGGCTCTTCTACCTCTTCCCCGAAAAACGGAGGGGCAAAATCGGAAAATCGCAGAGAGAAGGACGCGTCGATCGGCGGCTCGGCTGAGGCGTGCATCGGGTTGAAGCTGGGAAAGAGGACATATTTTGAGAACCACGGTGGCGGCGGAGTAGGAGGAGGGAACGGCGGAAAGACGAGAAAACCATCGACGGCTGGGGGTTGTGAGGGTGGGGCCGGAGCGCGGTGCCAGGTGGAGGGATGCCACGTGGACCTGTCGTCGGGGAAGGAGTATCACCGGAAGCATAGGGTTTGTGAGAGTCACTCGAAGTATCCTAAAGTGATGGTGGGTGGCTTGGAACGTCGCTTTTGCCAGCAATGTAGCAGGTAACATTATATAAATTTCACCGTCTTTGTTTTAACCTGCGGGTTTGTCAAGTTGTATGTGTATTGATAGGCGTTTTAAGAAATAAGAAAAAACCTGAAATAAGGTTGGGCCTCTGGTGCGCACGGGAAAAAGGTCTACCATCATTGGGCCGACTGAGTCACCGTGATTAACATCCTCCCAAAAATCCTGTCGGGTCGGGATATGGGGGGCTCCTGGGGGTGGGAGATTCCACCTTTTGGACCAAGAAATAAGAAAGAAAACTGATTTTCAACAGACAAAACAAAAATTCTCGTTTAAAATGTCTGTGATACAAACAATTTTTGTGTAAAAGCCGGTCTAATTGTCTTCATAAAAAGCCGGTCTAATTGTTTATATCACAGACATTTTATGAAAAAATTCTCATTTAAAATATCTGTGATACAGACAAGTTTTTGTCTATGTGGAAATCATTTTTTTTTTCATAAAAAGTCGGTCAAATTGTGTGTCTGTACACTACCCTGTACACGAAGCGGGATCGCTGTTTTTTACCACTATGAGGTAAGGAGGTGCCAGTAATTTCCGAAGTTCATTTTTTGGGAATGGCAGACTTAATTGCTATCTCCTTTTCTTGCGTTACCACGTCCAAAAATTTACCAAACTCATATGGCTCATTTATGGAGTATTGACTAATGTCACAACCTATACTATTATTAATCCTTGTCCCTTAAAACTTAGCATATTTTTAATTGGCTGAAACTTTATCTGGTCTCTTTAAGCTTGATTAGATTTGGTCCGGTTTGATTTGATCAGGTTTGGTTTGGTAGATGCATCTTGAACATGTATTTTACAGCTATCAAAGTCAAACCTTGTTATAAAATTAGGGATAATAAATTAATAATAAGACCAGATCAACCTAGAACTCCATAGTCCTCTATTACAAAGTATCACCCATCTCATCTCATCTAGTTTTGTCTAATATGCTTAATTTTGTCAGGTCTATTTAAGTTTAGCTTAGTTGGGTAAATGTTTGGTTTATGGGCATTGATGTTTAAGTCTTGTTTGGTGTATATGTTTAACTTTGGTCTATTTTAGAATTGCAGAAATCTTAAGGATTAATCAATTTCCTCATGAACTTGGCAGTTCCATTGGTTCTCCAATTTAGAAATGGTACAATCCACCCTCAAATGTAGTTTTGTCACCAGGGCGGAGTCAGGGCACTGGGCCGGACTGGACCGGAACAAAGAATATTTTTGAAAAAATTTTACACATAATTTTTTACAATGAAAATACAGACATTTTTTTAATTTGGGCTGGACCTGGGCCAGGGTTGGCTCTCTCTAGCTACACAATTTAGTGTAGTTAGGTGTAAATTGAATAACAAGGCTACTACTTTTGCAACATATGGCTATCCGTAACCTAACACCTTTCAAAAATCAAATTTCACCCCTTTGATATGAAAATCACGTATTTATACTGTCAATCCAATTTTTCCTTACAACCCCACGTGAATCAATATATTCCATCTGCATATTTTTCAGTGTACAATTAGTGACATCTTAATTATTTTGTTATAAATTATATGATTTTATATTGTTTTTTTAATAATTAAAAAATTACAAAAGCACACAGTTTGCTGTAAAAAATCTTAATTTATGATAAACGTTTTTAATTTATTGGGTTAATAAAATGAATAACAACATTTTTAATGAACTCACATGTAATTTGGAGTGTCTTCCCAACTAGCCATGATATAAGTTTTGGGAGTGTGAAATTAGAAGGTAATAATGAAATATGAAGGGTTAGAAATGTGAGTGAAAGAGGGGTGAGAAAATTTATCCTGAGGGACTCAAATGTATATTCCCACCTTCAAAATAAATGAGTCCTATACTTTTGGAGGGTGAATAGACCTACATATAGGTTTTTCGCCCTTTCACCCTTTTGGCTTTTATTAGTTATTTCCTCCATCAATGAAATGAAGTTCTTGATTGTAGATAGCATTTAGTTTTAGCACATTCTTTCACAACATAATAACACCTATTTTGAACATTGAAGGTTCCATAGCTTGTCAGAATTTGATGAAAAGAAACGCAGCTGTCGACGTAGACTTTGTGATCACAATGCAAGACGCCGCAAGCCACAACAGGATGCTTTTCAGTTCAATAATTCAACCAATAGGCTATCTACTTCCTTTTATGGTATGGTGATGGTGATTCACTTTTTCTTTGATCATAGATCAAGTTTGGTGAGCTGTAGTGGAACGTAATCGAATGCATTCGTGATGTTAAAGTCACACTAAAACTATATTTGATTCAGTTCCATTACTGTTTAATAATATGACACAATAATTGTTACATAGAAAAGGTAGTCCACACCTTAAAATCTTAGATTCAGCCTTTTTCTGTTCATGTTATTGCTGCAAACTTCTCTTAGGGGATCTAATGTTGAAGTTACTTAAGAAGTATTATAATTCACTAGCAATGGTTCATTTGGTAGTATGTTTGTTGTCTGTTTCTGTTTTTAATTTACTTTGGAAACAGAAAGAAGAAAACGTGCCTTGGGAGTATTGTTATGGCTTTAAGCTCTTGATAAAACAAAGAAAAAATGAAGTTTCCAAAAAACAGATTTAACAAACATGTTTACAAATTTGAAAAGAAAAAAACAAATGAAAACAAAAACAAAAACAAATTTTGTAATAACGTTAGTAAAACATGAAATCTCACCAATTGAAATCGAAATTTCTTAAAGGTTGGTTTAGTAAAGGCTTTTTGAGTGATATTTTCCAATCTGGCGAGATTCTGAAAGTGTTTTGTTTAGATTCATTTCAGCATAATAACCCAGGAAAATCTACTCATTGTTCCATTGGTTAGCATAATAAGCCAATTATGGCTACCAATGGAGCATAATAAGATGCATTTTTGTATTTTTCTGCCACTTCCCACTTTTTATGTTCATTATGAATTTCTATTTGCAGATGGTAGGCAACAAATAAACTTCATGATGAACAATGTCCCACTTTTTGACACTAATAAAACTGCTTCAAATTCAACTTGCTGGGAAAATAATAACAACACATATGCCTCCAACATGTACACTATTACAAGAGGGTTTACTTCCCAGCCCGAAAAACCCGGTAGTACAAACAAACAATCATACATGTCCACAGGGATCCACCAGCCTAACACTTGCAGTTTTCGTGATAATAATGTGTCTGATGATGTACTATTGGAATCTAAGGGCCACACAGAAGAAGGCTTCACACAAGGTGCGTTTTCTACCATTGAAACCCTCTAACTTGGTTATTATAGTCTGTAAAGTGAGAACTTAGCTCTTATGCTGACTTATGTGACTGCATTCATTGAATAGGCCGATAATGGTAAAAGGTGGTGCATAACAGCATGAGTACCTTGTTTATATTAGAAGAAGACCACACTGCTCTAACCTTTATATATTAAAAATAGTTAAGTCAGTTCATTCAATCATCGTCAGTATATAATCATATAAGTAATGAATGTGCAATGCTGCAACCCAACAATAAGGCTAAAGTTTGGTTGGAGGGAGAGGAAGGGAGGGTGCTGCTCTCACTTTGAGGCAACAAAATAAGAGGAAGGTAAAAAGTTTGGCGCTCTTCCCTTGCTAGTGTGTCAACCAAAGGGTATGGGATATGATTACCTCATCTTGAACCAAACTTTTACCTAAGCTTATGTTTTTAGTTGATACGCATTAATCCCTTAGCTTAAGGTCTTGCTTGCATTCTAACCTATGCAATCAAATGGGTTCACATATATATGAACTTAAGGTATTCTAAGTGTCCATATGTAGGAAAAGAAATCACCTTGTTAGCCATGTTTTTACCAAATGTTGAATTATTAGGAAATTTTGGCTTAATTAGCTGATAAACAGAAAAAGTTATGCATATCACTTTTTGGTAAAAGAAAATGACACATTGCCCTTATTTTCATATATTATTTTCTTTAATTCATCAGAACTTGATTATTCAATTCATTCTGCCTCAATTTCATCAAACTTATCTACATGTTATCCTTACCAAATCAGCTCTTACTAAATAAAAGAAAATGTTTGCACCTAGCGTTTGACCATCAAAGATTTAGCTCACACTAATGAGGGATTGAGAGGGCGTGTTAAGATATACACCATGCTTCCTCCGTTAATATTTACATGCTCCCTCCGTTTTTTTACATGCACCATTTTCTTTTTATAGAAGCTTTTTACTATTTGTTTGACTTTTGTATTTTGGCATTAACAAATGTGTCAAAACTAACATATACGAAGTATGTCCTTGCTTTTTCACACATAAAAAGTAAGGTGTGTGAATAATGAATTGTCCTTTTTTAGATTTTCTTGTTTTTCATCTTTTATCTCACACTTTTCCCTTTTTCTGCACGCTGTTCACTACTACAATGTAAAGTCAGTTTTTGCCTAACTAAACAGGTTCTTACATCATCTAAAAAAGAAAAGAAGAAAAAACAGGTTCTAATATGATGATATATGTTTGGTTTAGGTGGCAAGAGAGCTATGTTCTACATGGAAACAAGCATGGCAGAGAAATATCCCCGTGCTCTCTCTCTTCTGTCAACTTCTTCTTGGGGTTCATGTGAAGACCAACACAACAATTCCTCCATTTCAGAATCAGCAAACCCGACCACCGCCTTACACGAACAACAAACAATCCCGCTCCACCTTCCCCTCACACCACCGCAGTACTGGCAACCCGAACCAACCAACGGTCACCTCCCGGATGTTCATAATCTTTTCAAGGTCCCACAAGATGCTGACTTTTATCTAGACTCATTCAACTGACATCTCTGAAGAAGATTCAAGAAAATCCAAGGAAATCTTGCCTGCCCAGCTCATTAGTGGTGTATATGATTTGGTTGTGTAGAGTTTTTTTAGATTCACTTGTTCTCACTAAAGGAGGTGTTTTTTTACGATGGGAAGTGGTTTGCTTTCCAAGTATTGTTTGTTCTGTATTTGACTAAGGAAAGTGTAGATGGCCAAATGCAATCATTTTCCTTTTGTAGGAAGAGAGTGAATCTGATGGGACAAGGTTACAAGGGTGGAAAGAATTTTTCATGGAAAATTTTAAACGTCGCTAAATCTTTATAAACTGGCAAAAAAGAAATGAAAATTGTTGAGTACCCACCCTGGTTTTTATTGTTGAGATAGTGAGCTTATGGAATTGTGGTTTGCAGTTGGTTTAGATCAAAGCTTTGGATCTTCCAAATTGAATATAGTTTAGTGGAATATTTCAAATGTTCAATTTAATCATCTGATATAAAATACAAAGAGTGAATGAAAAAAATAGAGATGAAAAGAAAAACAGAGTTTGTTCTTCAGTATTAGCAACTTGTTCTATTTTTCATACATAACAATATTAACATTTAATTATTAAATATTCACATATTAGCATCGCTGTCTCATGGTTATTACAAGTGACACCTTATGTCGGACTTACGAAGTATTATGTTTAATGATTATTATACCTGAACCGGACCCGTCCAACCCTCGGGCCGGTCCCGGGCAATTGTCATACAAACCGGTGGCCCGACCCGGCCCGAGTCCACCACTACTTCCATTACTTTCTTCCCATTTATCTTCTTGATTCCATTCCATGATTCCAATGTAGTACACTCAAATACTTCAAGGTTCCAATAGTATCTTATGTTTTAAATTTTAACCTCAACAGCTCACTATACTCGTTGAAAACCGAAAGTAGGATGGACCACTCGCCTTGAAGGCTAACTACCAAACATGCCCCACCCATCTTTCTTAAAAACCTTATTGCTCCAAAAGTACCAATTGTTGATTTTTGGTCATTCGTATAATTATTAACTCCTTATTTTAGAGGCCACACAAAATCCAGAAGCAAGATACGTGGGCCCCTTAGAATCAGTTACCCACAAGCAAGGGTGTTAACGATTACTTATCGACCAGTTCAAGCTAGGGTCCCCCATGAACTTATACCAATACCTGGTATTAGGGCCAGGAATGGCATGTCCAGTTTTTTTACTCACTGGGGTGAGATTACAAACATTTACCGAGTATAACATAAAAAATATTTACCCAAACATAAACATTACCATTAGTTTGAGAACAAAATATGAGCGAAAAATATTCAATTTAATCTAAAACATTCAAGACAATTTTATTAGAAAGTACTACTCTTCTTTTGCATATGCTCAATCTGTTGTAACTTGTAAGATTGTTTCATTTGTCTATAAATTTATAAGGGATTTGTATTTCTATATCCGGAATCAATTGTGGGCCACTTAGCATGTGTGAGAAAATATAATTCTTTTAATTAACGTGCGATTAAACCGTGTCGTTTAATGTTTTGTAAAGAACCACCGATTACCGATATCGGTCTACTCGTCCGGTTTTGGATTGGTCCCAGTCTGGCTCTTTTTCTTATTTCTTACATATATGGAGGTATTATTTACACTAAATATAGAATACATATTGAATTCTTAATAAATACGTAGTACTACGTATATGTATTACTCCGTCCGTCTCCTAACTTTGTCCTGCTTTACCTTTTTCTTTTGTCCCATTAAGTTTGTCTCGTACCATATTTGCTAATGTTTGAGTGATTACAATTCATTCTTACCATGTTCACACTTTATCAATTCAATATCAACCACACAATTTCACTTCTTTTTAAAAGTTGTGCCACACCATCTTGTCCCAAACATAGTGGGACAGAGGTAATACTTAATAAAGATACGCTCTCTATTAGATAATAAGGGTGCTTTACTTGGATTATTTTCAGTCTCAGACCAGATAAGATCAGACTTAAGCAGACCAAGCCAGACTTGACTTCTGTAGTGACATTTATCAGACCAGACCAGACTAGACTTAAACAAACCAGGCCAGACAAGACTGAAACAGACCAGATAAGAAAATTATAGTTCAAAGTAAAAACATCCTAAATGTATACAATTGACCTGAACCGGCCATTTTCAACCTTGTATGTATTGAACTGGGCTGAGATCCAAATATCCATGCTAATGAGGGCCAGCTATGACATTTTAAGACCCTTCACTAAAATAAGTTTGGGCCGTGTAGGTAGAGCCATCAAGATGGTACAACTTTACATACGTAGTAAAATATTTGAGTTTTTGTCACTTTTAGTGCTCCGGCTATTATGTCATTGACATTTTTGGTACCCGTCTTTTAGTCACAAATTAAATAACGAAAGTAAATGAATAAATACAAAAATCATGAAGTAAAAGAAATAACATCTACAGTAACAATCAATGTTCTAAAAGGCGCTAGGCGCTAGTCGGGCGCCAGTCCAACGCCTAGCGCCTAGGCGGCTAGGCGGGCACCTAGTTGGGGACTAGTCGGAACATAGAAATTACATTTTTATCTATATTTTTGCATAAATATGAGAAGTAATATTGTATTCTTGTGTGAATAAAATGCATATATACACATACATTAACAAACATGAATGATATATAGAATTATGACATTTAATCATACATAGTACAGAGTATATGATAACTAAACACTTAACTTCATTATGTTATAAATATAAATAATACAGAGTAATAAAATTTAGGTATATATACAAACATTTAGTCTATCTTAATTTACAACTTCATTTCTTTATATCTGTGGCTAAAGTTAAAGTACTTATATCTTCATTTCTTTACAACTTCACTAATATTTGACTTGGATTTTTTCCACTTTTAGTGCTCGACTATTGCGCTGCAGACACTTTTGGTACCCGTCTTTGAAAATTTCCATTTTTAGTCCCCCGACTTTCATAAAAGTGACATTTTTGGTCCTTCAACTATTGTAATAATGACATTTTTTGTCCTCCGCTTATTGTGTCAAAATCATAGTAGGACTAAAAGTGTCAATTTGATAATATTCAGGGGACCAAATGTGGGAAACTTTGAAGTCGGGGATCAAAAGTGACCCTAACACAATAGTCGAGGACTAAAAGTGGAAATATTAAAAGTTAAGTACCAAAAGTGTCAATGACATTATAGTCTAGGACCAAAAATGGTAAAAATTCTAAAATATTTGGTTGAACAACTTATTTGAATAGTTAGTACTTGGTAGATATTCGGCAGGATATGTATAGTTTCGGGGTATTAATAAATAATAAATAGAGCACTTATAGTAAAATTCCAGCACCACACAACTAGTGTGTATGAGCCAATAGCTTAAATTTGAGTATGTTTTTATTGTTTATGAGTAACAAAAAGTCAAACCCATACATCACGGAAAAGATGCTTAGGGATTGTTCATTTATGCTCTTTGTTGATTCTATTGATTATTGTTTTTCATGTCGCCTTATGTATTCAAAGTACGAGGGACTTCACTACCTAATCTTCAAACAATCCTAATTAGGAAGGTCGTTTCTGCGTTTATCATATGCCCTGTTTGGCTTGGTCTCTTTAAGTTAACCCTATAGGTAATAGGCAGAAGATAACAAGGCAGTATTGGTCCCTTTCAGACCACCAATAAACAATCTAAGTGTAACGTCAGCATCTGCAGTTCTGCACAGAACCACAGAATGATAATGAACTACGGAGTACTACGTAAGTCACAACATAAAATGTGAAAATTGAATTCTATGTAGCACGTTGACAACCAAACAGCCGTACAATAGGCCTGTGGAGAAGTTTAGGACAGCAACACATTGTCGGTAGAAATAATTGAACCCCAAATCTCCTCCCAAGTCCCACCTCACCGTCCAAAGTTATATGAGCCAGCCAGGCCACATGCTTCTAACAATGTCATAAACTATGTCTGAAAAACGTAGGCACTTATCATACTAAATAAAGACATAAACTGACTTGACAACGCTACATTATATGAACTCAAGAAATAGCAAGAAGACCGGAGGCATAGCTGAACTGCTGAGAAACTACTGAGAAGAGGGTGCCAAAGAGGTACCGGGTTCAATTCCCGACAAAGACCTGGACTGAAACCTCTTTCTCCCTCCACTAGTCTAACTATCCGGCCCGTCCGAGGGACCCTCAGGGATGGGGTGTGGGAGCAAGAGGAGCGGGACATGGTGCTTTGATGCCACTCAGGTATAACTATCACCAACTATCCTGAGACATTCAAAGCCATTTACTGCTGGTATATTATCACTGGTGGGCACCAGTGGCGGGATACAACCACCATGTTATGACGGGCTCCGCCAGGGTGTGATGGGGTGTTGTCCTGGTTCATAAAAAGAGCACGATGATGATAGTTGAATAGCTCCTGGTTCAAGTACAAATGCCTGGAGTCACTAGTTCAACTCCATGAGGATCTCACCTAATATTAGAAGAATCCAAACCGGTTTAGACCACTTCCCAATACCAACTCTTAAACCAGAAAATCAATAAGGCATCCAAAAACTGCCCATCGAAGTCAGATTGTAGAACTGAGACAGTGCTAATCCTGAGTGACCTAATGAATACTGTCTTGCTTGCGGTTTACCTCCACCACCATGCTTACAAGGTTAATTGAAGTCCAAAAATTAAAGGTTCCCATGCATCATTAACTGACCTTGACTCGCCAAATTAGGGATGGATCGACCCGACCAGGTACTGTTTAGGCCCGACCCAGCCCGTTACTTTTCAGGCCCGGTCCGGTGGCTATAAGGAAGGGCTTCGGCCTCAGTTTTTTGGGCTCAACCCGGATGGGACCGGTTGCACTAGTTTTTTAATTTATTGCTCAGTCCCGGCCCGACCTTGTACTGTTTAGGCCCGATCCCGGTAAAATCTGAGGCATGTACCGGGCCTGAATTTTTTAAGCCCGAGCACGCCCGGTCCTGGCCCAGAGCCCGGCCCAACCCAGTCCCCATTCATCCCTACGCCAAATGGACCCATGTCATTAACTTAGCTCATCAGCTCATGGTAGGCAAGATTATTGGACCAACTCACCAACCTCATGGTACGCACTATGCAAGATTATTCAAGATTTTTTTTTTTTGGTTTTTCCTAGTTAACCCCCAACCCCCCCCCCCACACCCCCAAACCAACCCTAACCACCTCAAATGGCCCAAAATACCCAACCCAACCCAAAAACTTAAAAAAAAAATCAAAAAAAAAAAATGGCCAGCCGAGCCCGAACCGGCCGGGCCGGTTCACCTTTTGAAGGGCCCGAGCCCGAACTGCCATCCCACCGAGCCGGGTGGCCCAAACTGGCCAACCAACCGGTTCACCGGGCCGGTCCTGGCCCGCACAGTAGCGGGCCGGTCCTGGCCCGCACAGTAGCAGGCCAGTCCAGTTCTGGGCTGGTTGGCCCGGCCCGGCCCGAGTCCACTCCTAGATTATTTGGGTCACAATCCCACACGGTTGCAAAAAAAAAAGGATAGATGGGTCTCTTCCATTGTGAATCTCAATATTTTCCTGTAAAGCAATGACAAATTCAACATACATGATACTAGGGTTGGACTCGGGCCGGGTCGGGCCCGGGCCCGCTACTGTGCCCGCTATATAGCTGGACCCGGGACCGGCCCAGGTAGCCACCGGGTCCGGTCCGGGTCCGGGCCGGGCCTCGGGTTTGGTTAATATTTTTTTTTTTTTTTTGCTTAGCTACCCATCCCTGACCCCCCCCTCACCCCCCCACCCCCCCAAACCCCTCCTAAACATCAAGCCCAACCCGGTGGAGCCCAAACAAATGAAAAAAACCAAAAAAAAATAAATTTGGCCCGAACCGGGCCCGAGCCCTGGCCGGGCCTTGTTATGGGTGACCCGAGCCCAGACCGGAAACCCACCGGGTCGGGCCTACCCGGACCGGTCACTGACCGGGCCACCGGTTCAGGCCAGGCCGGAACAGTGCCGGTCCCGGGTCGGCCCACCCGGCCCCGAGTCCATGCCTACATGATACATGTAACATGTCAGCTTGGGTTCCGATATGCTGAACTTCCAGTGTGTTGTTCAATTGCAGTGACAGACTTGGTTTCAATCACAACGTTTATAATTTATAATCAAATCTTGTAAGCCAACACCCAAGCAGTTGAATTAGTGCTAGTCTAGCAAGTGGGGGATCCTTGAGGTTCAAGGCGCAAACCCTTGTTGGGTGAAAAAGCACCATTCCCCCTTCTTGATCGCACATATGGGTGGACCTAGTTCATAGTCTCGGGGGTGTAAATTGATTAAAAAGGCTAAAAATGATATGGAGTCGGGATAGTTTGAGAAGATATACTCCGTAATAATAAATAAAAACAGGAACCAGACTGGGACCAGTTGGGGACCAAAACCGGCCCAAAACTAGAAAAACCTGTGACGATCTCAGTTTGCATACCTCCACCCCAGGACCGGAACCGGACCAGGTTCATTCCTAATCGCACACAATATAAGTCCCATGGGAACAGTATGCACATATTCCTAAATCCTAATCTCACTGTGATTTTATGAACAAGGCTAGCGAGATGGGGGCAGATCTGGGATTTTATGAATTGAAAACATTGCCAATGAAGAGCTGGTAGTGAACCGGAGATGAGCTTGTAACCACATAGACACAAGTTTCACATGAATTTTATTATGCGGTTTTCCTCTCTTGTGAGTTGTGTCAGTGTGTTTCGGCCTTTCAGGCTATTCCATATGACTGGTATAAGTAGGGGTTTTCTCACCCAAATGGTAAAGTGTCAACAAACCCAACCATAATTCATACAAACAAATGACAGCATTTAAATTCCCATAATCAACAGTAGTTACCTTAGCTATGGCCTAAACAAAACAACATTCAACAAACCATTCACCAAATATGACAAGTTAGCGTCCAACACATGAGTCAGGAACAAAACAACATATAGTGGACACACGGAAAGTTGTAACAAAACCGTTCATTGACTTATGTTGAATGTTGATATTACCTTCAGAGGTTCATACATGTGAACTTTTCTCAACCTAGATACATGATGTGTGTTAAAAAGTCAAAGTCAGTGAAAGTTGTCTACTTCAGTTTATTCATCTTAAATGTAATCACCTCACCTATCCATTTTCTTCTGAACTTAGTAGTGAACTACTAAACTGAACAGCTAAAAAGGGAAACAGGAATGAATAATTGGCCACAATAAAGCAACTGGACATCAGCATACCCGTCAACCAAACATGATAAAGATTACCAAAGAAAACCCTATTGAGGATTCAACCAAATCAACCTTTAATAATATCTCTTAAAATTATGAGCACTGACAGACAACTCAGCATTACTGGGAAAAAACCTAAACACCAGTGTATGAACTTCAGTTACAAATTGACAACATAATACGGGCAGCTTAACTCAACAACAACTGCAGCAACTGGAAGACAAACACAACTGAACGACAAGACTTTCAGACACCCACACTGAGCACGCTGGATGACGACTCTTGACCTTCTTGACCCTTAAAAACAACGCCCTAGTACTCACTGGAAGAGTAGACAACTTGGAATTAATAAATGCAAATGTAAAAGTAAACGATATGCATAAGAATAATCAAGCACACCATGGAAATATTTTTCCATTAACTTTTCCTCTTTCCTGACCTTTAGATTCTCCGAGGGTTCGTATTGAACCCAGGAATTGCTAGAAGAAGAAAACATGGGGGGATTGGTTCAGGCTCGAAAAATTAACTTCACATATTTTTCAGGCTCAGCCTTAATATATTGTATATAAAATTATAAATATAAATATATCAAATTTTAATTAAAATAAATCATTCGTGATTTCCTTCCATATTTCTTAACATAAACTCAAACAATAAACTACTTTCTGAGCGCTCTTCATACTTTTCCTACTATTTTCTGTATTACAAACATAGCCTGAACTACCGTGGGAACAAATACCATGCTCCAAAACATTTTTATATTTTCTATTTTCGTATGTAAAGGATTATATTATGCATAGAACATATTTTCCAAGAAAACACATTCCCACAAGAAAATATTTTTCAAGTTACTTTCCACCAATCAAAAGGAGCCAAAGAGATGTGTGCTCAGGTTGAGATATATATTAGAGATAAATAGTTCAAGTGGATATGATGTTAATCCAAATGAGTTATCAAACTCCAAAAGTTTCTGAACTGTATAATTCATTTTTACAGAAGAGACATGGATGTCATACAAACTAAGTGGAAGGTCCAAGTGAGAGAGAAGTTTACAAGTTTGATATATATCACAACAGACCTGATCATTGTCATCTGACAGTGGTGAAGAAGAGTTCCTTGGCTCGGATGGTTTTTCAGCTCCACAGTTTTGTCTGTTACATTTGGTCCTGAATGGGTAGTTTATATTGTTGCATTTTTCACACTTCCAGCTCCCGTCAGGGGTACCTGATTGACAAAGAAGTGTATGCAACTGTGAGCCACACAAGAAATGACAAATGACTGCACAATTTTCAACTTTAAGCTAGTTTCTTATATTTGGTTTACCTAGGAAAAATGTGAAGAAATGAAATATTGAAATACGATTACTAAAAAATTGTACATATATTTAGATTCTCTAGTCTTTTATATAATAATAGACATGAATAGAAGAGATGAGTATTAAGAAATACTACCTCCGTCCCATATAATTCTTCCCACTTTGACTTGGCACGGAGATTAAGAAAGTGGAATAAAGTGGAAATGTATGGTTGTGGTTGTGTAGGAAAAAGGTGAAATGAATGTGAACCATACAAATTGTCCAAAAATGGTAAGTGGGAAGAATTTTTTGGGACAGCCCAAAAAGGAAAGTGGGAAGAATTTTATGGGACGGAGGGAGTATCTAAATTAAATTTATGGAGTTTTAGCATAACTTTTGTCCCCCACTTTTACGGAGGTAAGCCCTACAAACTCACTTTTTCACCTCTAATACATATCTAATGTTTAAAATTAATTTTTCATAAAAATTGATATTAGGTTTGGTGCAATTTAGACTTTTGGTGATATAACCATTGATACTATTGGCCAAAAACAAAGTTGGCATGACAGAATTCTAGACAAACCGGCCTAATATGACCATTTCTCTATAAAAGAAATAAACTTAAAAACATATAAAATAAATTTATTGAGTTGAAGCTATACTTTATTACCCCTCCCTCCATTTTATTTCCTTCAATTTTTTTACCTTATTTACACTTCCTAGAATTTCCCAATAAAACGAACCATGTAAAAAAACTTACCGGAATTCTTTGCAGATTTTGCTCCCTGGAGAAAATGAAACCATGTCAGAATATTAATATAACTCAAACTCATGGCATAAAAAAATAAAACCAAAACCAAGGAAATTCACCAGGTCAAGAACTGCTTAATATTGCCAAGAAAGAGTCACATACCTGGGATCCAGGCTTTGGTGTATTGCACTTTCTCATATTACAGACTGTTCTGAATGAAAAATTAACATTCCCACATTTAGGACACTTCCAGTCGTTATCACGATTTCCATCTGGGAAAGCAGAAATAGAAACGGAAAGAAAATCAGCTTGAGAGTTCAAAATGTAATACTCCACAAGAAATGTCTCATAGCTCCCTACCTTTCTTCTGCAGATTATCCTCTGCATAATGTCCTGGCCTTGATCCCTATACAAAGGGTAAAAACCACTAACATAAGGATGCTCTAAGTTAGAAAATAAACATATGAAGTACATAAAAGTTACCACATTTGATATATTAATCAAATTCACTTCAAAAAAACAAGGAGAGAAAGAAAAAGCTTTAGATTGGCACATACAATGGTTGGAGAACCCATTGGCAATGCATGACCATATCTGTCTACCAGAGGAGGTCGCACACTATATACCCCACCTGCAACAATGTTGAAAAAACCTTTATGCAGTTTCACTCAAAATTAAGTACACAAACATGCTACAGTATCCAAAAAATAAGAGCCCATTGTGTAAGGGTGGATTTGGCTTAAGTTGTTGATACTCATGAAATTGCTTAATAATGAAAATTAAAATACGTATACTTAACTAGTAAGTAAAAGTTTTTATAAGGATAAAAAATAAAGCCTGTTAAGAAAGATGAGTTTGACTTATACTGCTAACATTGTAAAGGAAATGGCTGAATTATGATAAACAACAAAAACAACATCCAAGCCTTAGTCCCAAAAGATATTATGATGACAATAATTATTTAAATGATGAAAAAAACAAACGAATATACAAAAAGGATAATATGTTCATTTTTAAAAACGTTAGCATTACCTAACAGATCCACTATGCCATTGTTAACCAGTTTAACGAATGAAGCCAAATAAATTAGTCTTTACTAAATAACTGGTTGATTAGCCAAAAGAAGATGTGCCAGGGAAATATCAGTGGCTACAGAAAAAAAACACTTAAAGTTGAAAGCTATTGCAGCTGGATTTCCAATGATCTATCAAGAAGGTAAAAAAGTAACAAAAAGATTTCAACCAACGGAACACAAAGGAAATTATAAGTGATCGAACACCATGCTAAACAAGCTTACCATTCCCCATTATAGGTCCACTGGAGTAAGGAGGCGGGGCAGATATATGCAGTGGTTGATATGGACTGCCTCCAGAAATGCGGCTCCCATAGTTGTAGTGGTAACCTGAGCCTCCAGAATACGGAATATCATAATGAGGAATAGACGTTGCACCAAACACAGAGGAACCATGAGGTGGTACGCCCAAATACAATGGAGAGGGAGCACCAGATCCTACATAAGGAGCCATGGTAGTATAGCCTTGTGGTGCTTGGAATGGCTTAGCTACAGGTTTCTGGAAAGGATACAAATCAATTACTGATAACAACCAATTCATAATCATTATACAAAGCACGACCAGGGGCTGTTTGGTTGGCTGGATGTTAGATACAATATGTACTTTTAGCATGCTTTGATGGGATGTTTGATACCTCTAAAATTGTTAGGTCAAGCATGATTACAGTACTGTTTTTACGTTGTTTAGGCTTCTTACTTAATCTTGCATATAATTATTACTACCTCTGTCCATTAAAAAGAGTCACATTTAACCAATGTAGAACTTTAAAATTTCAGTAAGAATGTACAACTATTGCAAATCATCAATTTTCTGTAAATTTAAAATTATGGGGGGCTCTTTGGAAGCTTAACCGTTCAACTAAAGATGACATTTAACTTCTTTGGGAGGCTCTTCTGAGAAAAACAACACCAGATATGATAAGAAAATAAGACTTGGCTTATTTTTTTCAAATAGACCTCATTCTAGAAGGGAAGGTACAAATTAATGTTAATATTATGTAACAATAATAGTTACTGTTATTAGTACTTCAATATTTTAATCATAACGCCCTTAAATGGATGAGATATTAGAATAATATACCAACTGTTATAGAAGATTACAAGATAACCAGCATCTTAACAAGTTAATGCTACATCCCTACAGTTTTTCCCATATCGATGCAATTCTGACAAACACAAGGTACGCACATTAAGGGATCTAACATTCCCATGTTATCCAGCATACCCTACGGAATGTAACATTTCGCCAACCAAATGTCACCTCGAGAAGAAAATTATTTCCAAGAAGTTTCTGATTCTTATCCATAGGCTATTCCCATCTTAGTATCTTACAGTGTTGTGATCAGCAGGCCTGGACTGTGTACAGTTTCGCATATTGCAAGTTGTTCTGAATGAGAAATTAACATTGCCGCATCTAGGACATGTCCAATCATCTTCTCTCCGTCCACCTTGAAACACAACAGAATGTACAATTATGAAAGAAGCAAAAACTAAAAATAAAAATCAACATGGCAAGTGTTTGAAAATTTGCATTGAAGTTTATATATTCGAACAACATACGGTACAATGAGATCATGATTCCAAAATTGCAGGAATACCATAATAATATACTATGGAGTAATATTTAATACATTCCATACCACAATAATATATGGTACAATGAGATCTAACTCTACAAGTTCAGAAAGACCACCACAAATATCATTTTAGATACTATGGAGTAATATTTAATACATTCCGTCCCACAATAAGTATAATACCCCTCATAAAATTGTCCCATTCTCAGAACATTACGTCCCCTGTGCAAGCATGCCAATATAAACAATACATGTAAGAATGTACATAGCATGCACCCATATCAACAGACGTAAATCTAAATAGGGGTAATCTAAAGACATACCGTCAGTTCGGGCACGTTTAGCAGCAGAAGAATTTCTATTGTCAACCTGATAAAAATCAGGATGCAAAGTGAAACTTCCAAACAAACTACAAGCCTAAACTGAAACCCTATCCGGTGAAAACAAATCACCAAGAACATTATCGATTTAAAATGTGAGTTAAAATCCGTCTAAGATTCGTAAAAATTCACACTCTAGAATCCAGTTAAACTCCCAATTCAAAGAATCAAAATCATAATTTTGAGAAATCTAAAGGCTCCGAATAAATTAATCATAAACGATATATTCAATTGTCGTATTATATAGATGAAACAAAATCTGAGAGAAGTACCTGCGACATCGCTAACCACAAATTGTCAGGATCTATATGGCTCTCTTTACCCTTACCGGCGCGGCCGGGGAACTCCGATGGGGAGGGGAGCGAGTGTTACACTTCTAAATCTTCACGATTCCAAAAAAGAGAAAGTCGACATTAAGTCAATCATCCTTAACGGGCCTGATGGCCCAACACACATATCTGCAACTCTAATTCAGATGGACAGGTCTACTCTTCCTATTGTGTGATTATTATTTCTCATCCAACTTGATATGAGTCCAATTTATGTTTTTCTTATGTGGAAGTATCCTGTTTCATTTCCTTTTTCTATTTTCTATTCGTATTTCATTTATGTCCCAAGATCATTTACTTTTGGGAGAACTACCAAATAAGCTCTCGAACTTTCATAAAAAGTGCAAATAAGCCCTTTTATAGGAGACTCTGTCCGGTCGTCGCCATTTGGGGTGGTTTCTGGTGGAATTTTTTGATGAATGTTTTTGAGCATCTTGTTCATTAAGTCTAGTTTACTCATACCAAATTTCAGCTAAAACTTCAATCAGGAAGGCAGTCAAATGAATTTTAGAAGATAACTGCGCAATTAGGTATAGGTAAGTTTCAGCTAAAACTTCAATCAGAAAATCATTTGACTGCCTTATCGATTGAATTTTTAGCTAAAATTTGGTATGGGTAACAAGACTTAACGAAGAAGATGTTCAAAAATTTTCATCAAAAAATTCCACCGGAAACCACCCTAAAAGGTGACAACCGAACAAAGTCTCCTGTAAACGGGCCTATTTGCACTTTTTATGAAAGTTCAAAAGCTTATTTGATAGTTCTCCTTTTACTTTTCATTTAGAAGTTGTTATGTTCGTCTTATTCTTATTACTTATTGCTTATTCTTATTTTATTCAAATCAGATCAGATCAGAAATTCAGATGAGATCAGATCAACAAAATGCAAATCAGATGAGATCAGATCAGAAACATTCAGATCAGATCAGATCGGAAAGATTCAGATCAGAAGCATTCAGATCAGATCAGAAACATTCATAGCATATTGGAAACATTCTATTATTATCGATTATATTATTATTATTATTATTATTATTATGAAATAATTATTATTATAATAATAATAGTTATTATTATTATTTTATTATTATAATTATTATTGATATTATTCTTATTATTATATACCGGTTTAGAAAGTTAAGATCAGATCAGAAAGATTCAGATTAGATCAGACAGATTCAGATCAGATCAGATCAATTCAGAAAGATTCAGATCAGATCAGAAACATTCAGATCAAATTAGAAAGATTCAGATCAGATGAGAAGCATTCAAATTAGATCAGATGAGATCAGAAACATACAGATCAGAAACATTCATAGCAAATTGGAAACATTCTATTATTATCGATTATATTATTATTATTATTATTATTATTATTATTATTTGATGGAGTATTAACTCCTAGAGAGAATGGAGAGTTAGAGAGGGAAGTGATATGTATTAAATGAATTCGGTCTGAGATCCTTTACAATGAAGAAGTAGCTAGCTATTTATAGCTGCCATAAATGGTATGTGCAATAAATGAGGGTATATGTGTCAAATAACCAACGGTGGCGAGTCGATTCAGCCGGGGTGGCATCGGCATAGCATGTGGCCGCAGTTAAAGCAGTGGTTGATAGCATGTGGCCGCAGTTAATGCGGTGGTTGGACGTGACACCGTATTTAATGTGGCGATTCAAATCATGTGGAGAGTAGATCATGTTCAGGAGAGCGTCGAAGGCCGTACGTAGCCAGGGGCCATTTGGGCTTTGCTGCCGTGCTGGGGACGTACGTAGCCTGGGGACCGTTATGCGTTGAAGGTCGTACGTACCCCGGGAGCCTTCATGTGCTAGGGGCCGTATGTGACCGGGAGCCTTCATGTGCCAGAGGTCGTACGTAGAGGCCGTACGTAGCCAGAGACCTTCCTATGATGAAGGACGTATGTCCCCTGCGATATCAATGTGCTATGAAGGCGTACGTCCCCTGGGACATTCAAGTGCCGAAGGATGTAAGTTTCGTGGGCTTCAGGTGATGAAGGATGTACGTAGCTGGATACCGCCATGTGTTAGAGGCCGTACGTACGCCGGAGGACTTTAATGTGCTGGAGGACATACGTAGCTGGATACCGCCATGTGTTGGAGGCCGTACGTACGCCGAAGGACTTTAATGTGCTGGAGGACATACATCCCCAGGGCCTTCATATGCTGGAGGACATACGTCCCCTGGGGGCTTCCATGTGCTGGAGGACGTACGTCCCCTGGGGGCTTCCATGTGATGGAGGACGTACGTCCCCTGGGCCTTTATGTGTCAGAGACCGTACGTATCCTGGGATCCCCCATATGGCAAAGGTCGCACGTCCCCAAGGTCTTGCATGTGTTTGGGTCACTTGGGCCTGTTGGGCCTGTTCGTAGTAGTGAGAGTATGTGGGCCGGGAGTTTCTGGGCCATATACTCCATCAGAAGTCCCCCACTCTCTGAGCTGAGATGCAAACGAAGTGAAAGGGAGTAGATCTTTGTTGTCTTGATGCTTTCTTGGCCTTCGGAGGATTGCCTGGGAGAATATGGCGTTTCTTTCCGGGGTGGTGCCATAATTTGTTGGCTGCCTTTTGTCCTTCATTTCGAGGACGAGTGACGTCCTTCATTTCGAGGACGAGTAATGTCCTTCATTTTGAGGACGAGGAACGTCCTCCAATTCGAGGATGATGAATTACCTTCATTTCGAGGACGAGGAACGTCCTTCATTTTGAGGACGATGAATGTCCTTCGTTCTGAGGATGATGAATGTCCTTCATTTCGAGGACGAGGAACGTCCTTCATTTTGAGGACGATGAATGTCCTTCATTTCGAGGATGATGAATGTCCTTCATTTTGAGGACGATGAATGTCCTTCATTTTGAGGACGATGAACGCCCTTGTGTCTTTGACTTTAGCTGATGGATCTTACGCTTGTGGACGTTCGTGGCGCGTTTGTTTTGTTTGTAATGTGGACGATGAATGTCATTGTTCTGGAGATGATGCATGCCATTGGCCCTGAGGACGAGGAGTATCCTTGGTTTTGAGGAGGATATGTGTCCTTGATTTTTAGGACGATTCGCGTTCTGCATCGAGCTTCGGCTTGGCCGAAGGGTGACCACATGATTGTGGTTTGTTGAGATACCATTGTCATTGGCTTCGAGGACAATGTTTGCTTTACGCTTTTGATTTTTGTCGAAGGTGGACGTCTGTGGTGTCCTTGTCATTCTGGCCGACGGTGGATCACAATGGTTGAGGACATCCATGGCTTGTGGTCTTTTGCGCTTTTTGTGTTTGTTTATCTTGGGATCTTTTTGCGGCCCGTGGAGGCCGATATAGTCCCCCAGTCCCCCACTCCTTGAAGCACATGTAATGAGGTGAAAAGGAGTAGAGTAATGCATGTCTTCGACAATGGAGAGATGCCTCGTTAAAAACCTGATCAGGAAAAACCCTGTGGAAAAAATCCTAATGAGGGAAAAGGAGCACATCGGATGCCCCCATAATGAAGCAAAAGTTGTGTTCCCTTTCGGCCTGGGCGTGGAGCTGCAGCGGTGTCCGTATGCTGAAGGGACGCCCGTCTGATGAGCCGGTCCTGAGAGAAAGGATCACACTTAGGCTGAGGAGCCGTACGTGATCTGAAAAAGACGGTGATGAGCGGCCGTTCATCGTAAAGGTGATGGTCCCCATCCTGGAAGGGATGGAGAGCCCGATCGCTATCTCAAGACGTTCGACGCTAAGGAAGCCGGTCTTGAGATAAGGGATCACGCCGAGGCTGAGGAGACGTACGTTATCTGAAGAAGACGGCGTTGAGATGCCGTTCGTCGTAAAGACGACGATCCCCATCCTGGAAGAGATGGGGAGCCCGATTGCTAGCTCAAGACGTTCAACGCTGAGGAAGCCGGTCTTGAGATAAAGGATCACGCCGAGGCTGAGGAGCCGTACGTGCCCTGAGGACGACGACACTGAGAGGCCGTTGGTATAAAAAATCATGTTGAGGCTGAGGGGCCGATGGTGATCTGTTGGCTGAAGTAGATATGCCCTTGTTACGTTTTGTAGAAGTTGTCGTTGTAGGGTCACTCTAATCCGCAGGGGTCAGTAACGGTGTTTAAGGCCGTTGCGTGACCCTCGGCTTGCATCTGAGGGGCCGAAGAAGGTGGGTCGTGTGAAGAAATTTGAACGGGTGGCTTCCCATTGGTTGGAATGGAGGTGATCGTTGGGGTGACCTATGAGAGTGTGCCACGTGTAGTGACCATTGGGGTGGACTCGGAGAAAGTGCCACATGTAGTGACCGCCGGGAGGGGGTCTATAAATACCCCTCCCCTCCAAGACGAGCTCCTCACTTGCATCCTTTGAGAACGAAATGCTGCCCCAATTTCTAGAGAGAGAAATCTTGCTTGAGTGTTCTTGGCATTCTCGAATCTTCAAAGGCTAGTCTTCAACCGTTCTTCCCTTATTTTGCATACTTTGCTTCCTCAAGCCTTGATCTAGTGTTAGTCAGGAAACTTCACTTAGATCCCAAGTAGCTCCCCTTAGGATTCCAATAGCTGTTATGGCGGATTGTTTGGACAAAGAGTACTATCCGTACGACGATGATGATTCCACGAAGTCCTTGATTATGGAGTAGTCGAAGAGTGTTGTGAGGAGATCGACGAAATGAGTCCCTCCAAACCAGGGGAGCGACAGGGGGACGAGCGGAGTATGGACAAGGATGCTGCCTCGTCGTCAGCGGGTGAGGACGTCGAGATTTCTGGCGCTACGGGCGGAGCCTCTGCGTCGGCCACCATTCGTTGCCCCGATCCCCTTTCAGCTATCAAGGGGATAGTTCCCGTAGTAGGCTTTCTGCCGAAGATTAGGAGTCGGCCGAAGAAAGGTCCGGTCGTCTCCTTTCTGGATCTCACCAATCCATACCTCATCAAACCGCAGAGCAATGCGGGCGAGTATTACGTCGCCCAATTGTATGTTGGGTCGTACGGCCGGGTTAGGGCACCGGGCCGGCGTATCACGTTCTCGACCCTCCTCCGGGGTACTTTGGGGTGTACCCCATGAGCTTCGCTAAGGGGCTCA